GGACTGATGTAGAACGCATCCCTTGTCGTAGTGACCGGATCTTTGTTGTAGTCCATCGAACCTTGTTGTGTCACCAAATGCTTCCGCAAATGCCTCCAAAAAGGTTTCAAAGTTATTTAGTATGGACGATCGTTTCTCAAACAAAGGATCAAACCATGATAGAGCTTGTCCTATAAGTAAGGTTCCAACAAGCCCAACACGTGACTCCTCCGTTGGATAGCATTCGGGCTGTAAGGCTGTTATTAACCTGATTTGGTTGACGAATCCTCGAAACTTGGAACGCGTACCATCGAACTTGTCCGGAAGGCTAACTCGGAGTTCCTTATGTTGTAGAACTAGCGGTGCTTGTCAAACCTGAGGTAAAGTTGCTTCTCCAAGTGTAGAAGTTTGAGGCTGGTGCAACCTAGATTGTGCCATCCCAGATGCTCCATCATTATGAAGCCTTGCCACGACTCCTTCAATCTCTGCAGTTCTTTGCGATAACGTAGTGAGGGCATTCATGATAGCATCTAACTTGGACTCTGAACTTTCCGTCATACTAATGTCTTGGCCCCCGACCATTCTAAGAGAAGGACAGAAATGACTCTACAATAAGACAATATTGGTTTAGAGGAGGGTACTCCGCAACCTCTAAAATGCCTTAAGAGCTTCAAGAAAAGGGGTAATCCACTCTCTCCAAGAAGAATAAGACTCCAATATTGTAACAAAAGAAGTATCAGTTTAGAGGAGGGTAATCCGCAACTTCTAAAGTGCTAGTATACTTCCAAGCAGAGGGGTAATCCACACTCTAACAAAGAAGAAACTAGCTCTAATATCTAAGGTGAGTGAAGTCTCGACAAACTGTCACGGACACAGAATACAGACTTGATATCTACCAAGAAGTTCAAGAAGAACTGGCAAGAACTAGATTAATCAAATGAATACAAGAACAACACCAAAGAAGTGAACTAGAGCTCCAAGAGATGTGTTGTCGAGACTGAAGAACTCTTCAGCCTCGATTCCAATATATACTCCTATTTAGGAAGCTTCTCAAGCAACTTCTACCAACTAGGAAGCTTCTAGAAGGTTCCAGAGACTTGCTTCTAGAAGATTCTAGAAACTTATCTCTAGAAGGTTCTAAGGACTATGTCCCTAACAGTTGTACTGATTAACTACTTGTGATATAAGTTGGACATGTGGTGCACGTATAGAAAGCTTGTCTTATAAATTAGACATATGTTTTGCGAATTGGACACCTGTCAATGGTCCTATAAAATGTAGTTAGGTAGCTCTTAGTTAAATAGTATATATAGAGGCAAGAATAATACCTTCCTTACTCTTATCAATTCTTTTCTTGCTTCTAATCTAGTTTCAAGAGTTTCTAGTTTTTTTATCTTTTGGCAATAGTCATTTCAATTTATTTTTGAATATATATATATATATATATATATATATTTTTTATCATATTTTTTTGAAAAATATCTTACTTGTTTATTTACATTCTTTAAGTTCTTGTTCTTGATACAAAGGCTATATTGAATGATGTAAAAGACATATTCAATGCCTCATGCTTTGTTGAATGCATTAAAAGTAGTGGTGATTATTCTACAACTTCATACAAAATTAATAATAATTTAAAGTCAAATCAAAATCAATGGATGTATAAGAAGTTCAACAAATGTTAAAATTATTTTTTTATTTTAGACCATGTATAGAATCAAAGTCAAAGTGAGGATGTTTTATCTATGGATAATATATTTACTAGCAATGGTAGTACATTGATTGTAATAACTTGAGATTCAAAAGCAATAAAGCATTATGGTAAAATATTTATAAAATAAATATTAAAGAACTTGATAAAGATATAAATATGAAGTTGTTTATCACTTATTATTTTAGCTAAGAAAATATTCTTGATGAACTTTTGAGATTAAAAAAAGCATTGTAAGAACTTGTAATAGCTTGCTATTGAGTTCAAATGTTATGGAAGCATCTTTTAAAAAATATAAGAGATTGTAATATTAAGAGCAAGCTTTATAAAGGTTAAAAATAAGAAGAGTATTATAAATATAGTCCAATAGTTTTAAAAAAGATTAAAAAGATGTAGAATTCATATTAGATACAATGATTTATTAATCATTGGTAAAAATAAATAAAGATGGATTTATAAGAATACATAATAAACTATAAGATAAGAATAGAAATATTATTGAAAAAAATGAGATATAAATATACAAAAATATAGAACTTTAATACAAATCTATTTTATAGATTAATTAAAAAGATAAAACATCTACATTTTATCTACATGGCATGTAAAAAATTAATAAAAATAAAAAAGAAATAGAATTCAAAAATTGAAGTTTATTGTTTATAAATAATATATTTTTTTATTATTTTTTAGATGTATTTTGATGTTAAGTTATTATGTAAATAAATTAATCTTATATTAAACTTCAATTTTTATCCACATTAAGTACATTACTAATGTAGAAATTGTAATGTAATTGTGTATTTCATTGTGTTGGTTTATAATTGGAGAAATTACTTTACAACAATATAAACAATAATAATATAAGTAATATAATACATATTTTTTTTTCATCATTTTAATTTTTAAATTTTGATTTTAGTATTATAACACTTAAAACTATTTTAAAGATCCTAATTATATTTTTTTTGTGTTGATAAAGCATTTTTTAAGTTTAAATTTTTTTCTATCAGTCATGCTACTTGAATTAGTATATAAAGAATTGCAAGTCCTATATAACAAAGATGTTGAGAAAAAGTTTAAGGATTTAAATATCTTACAATTGAAAAATTGTTGTTTTATTGAAAAAATTCTAAATTCATTCTTTAAAATTGCTACATTATTAGAACTTGACTTAGAAGGATGCTCAAACTTAACTATCTTATGTATTGGAGTATATGACTTCTTTGAAGATTCTTAATTTAAGAGATTAAATAAAAATAAGATCACTATCACCATTAATACGTAGTCTTCTATCTTTGAAAAACTTTAATATTCAAGGATGTTGCAGTTTGACATCATTGCTAAATGAATTGAGCAACCTTATATCTTTTACTACTTTTGATATAAAAGGGTATTCAAGCTTGTCATCATTGCCAAATAGATTAAGCACCCTCACATCTTTGATTATCTTAAGAATAAGTGGGTGCTCAAGCTTAACATCATTGCCATATGAATTGGACAACCTTACATATTTGAATACCTTTGATATATACAAGTGCTTAAGCTTGACATCATTGTCAAATAAATTTAAAAAACCTCATATCTTTGACTATCTCAATAAAATAGAGAATTCTAGATCTTTAGCTACTTTTGTTATAAGTAACTAAAAAAACAAAATATTATTTATATTGAAATGTATTAAAAAAATATAATATTTCTTTTTGGGCAATATCGTAATTTTGAATGCATTCAATCCTCAAGCTTAACTTATCGTAAGTATGACATAATGAGATGAACAATGGTTGTGTTATCTCGTCTCGATGCAGGTTCCTTGAGCAGTGCTTTCCGGCATCGTCTTTCTTGGGAGCTTCGTCTCGTCGCTGCCAAAGGTTGTGAGGTTGTAGTATAATGAAGGCACGAAATACCCTATCCCCTGGGATCTAAGGCCGCAAAAAACTAATGTAATCACCTGTTTCTGGGATGCATCGAAGCAGTAGATTCGGAGCAAAAGGCACATTTAAAGTTTAAGTTAGACTTTTGCAGATAGGTGGTTGAAGATGTAGTTTGGTTTAGTTTTGATGAAATTTATGAGAGGTTGCTTGAGGTCCCCTTGCAGTTTGAACTTCAGTACAGAAAAGCTGGATTCCTGGGCTGGAATATCCAGCGGGGAGGGTTTTTAAGGGCTACAGTGAGCTTGAACTCTTCACTCATGTCAAAAGTCTGTACACTCTCGCCTTCAGGGAAGAGCCAATCAAAACTGTGGAGAACGTGAGCAAGCATCAAGGAGACCATGAGGTTTCCCAGCTGATATGCTGGACACATGCGTCGCCCTGCGCCGAATGGGATGAGCTCGTAGTAATCCATACCTGTTAAATGATTCACCTCGGGATGGTCGATAAATCTTTGAGGGTTGAATTCATCAGGTTTTTCATACATTGCAGGGTCCCGATGGATAGCAAAAAGATTGTAGAACACTCGTGTGTGGGCTGGAAACTTGTACCCCATGATCTCTGCTGGTCGGATTGATTCGTGTGGGAGTGACAGTGGCGCAGGGGGATGCATACGAAGGGCCTCTTTGGTGATGGCTTGCAGAAACGGGAGGTTTGGGATATCGGACTCTTGTACCAGTCGATTAGTGCCCACCACATTGTCGAGTTCATCCTTAGCTCTTTTCATATGTAGAGGATTTACCATGAGCTCTGCCATCGCCCACTCCACTGTATTCGCCATTGTGTCTGTTCCTGCGATCAGCATATTCTGGAACCCCAGCACTCCATGTCAGTGAGGGATGAAGTTTTAAGAAACACTTTGTCAGAAATCGAAATTCCTCCAAACCTTTGAACTCTAGGCGCTCGGAAATGACCTCGTTGATCAGTCGTAATGCTGTATTTTATTGAATTCAAGTGAGCAATCCCACTCTGGCTCTGGAGATAAAATTATCTTACCATGAGGACCATCTTGATGTTCTTGTCGGGCAGCGGCTCTCCATTTTCCATCTTTGTCGTCAACAACACGTCCACAAAGTCAGGTACGTATTCTTCACCTCTGTTCCTGTCTAAAGCTCGCTGTCTGTGCTTGTCCAAGTCCGCAATTTTCACTGAAATGGAATCAGAGAAGTGACGGATATCCCACAACCTTGGTATCCAACCTTGCAGCTTTGTGATGAAGCTCAAGTATGGGACGTAGTCATCGATGATGAACGTGCCGACTGCCTCAAATATACGTTTGTAGAACTTTTCGAATCCTTGCTTTTCTTCTTTCTCCTCGGGACTCTCTTCGCCATTTCCAAAGTACCTGTTTACAAAGTGTATTGATCAGAATCTTCTTGGTAGGACCAAAAAGTTTCGCTTCATCACTAGCCGGAAATGGAGCTCTTCATTAGCCAGCAGTACGGTGGTAATGTTCGATGTTTTATCTAAGATATTTGCATTACCTTTTCCCAAGAAGCATCCGGGTCACGTAATTGCAAGTTACACCCTGAAGCCATCTCCTTACGTCGATGACTTCCCCCCTCTTTGCATCCTCTCGAAGGAGCCTTGCCATGTGATGAATTTCCTCCGTTCTGGCATTCTCGTAAGATGCCAGGCGCTTTGGAGAAAAAAGCTGATCATGGCACAGTTTTCGTAGCTGGTTCCAGTACGGCCCAGGGTTAGCACTCGCCACAGTCTTGTCTTCTTCAAGGATGGCGAGGGCCACCACCTGGGGTCGTCCTGCGGTGTCTGCATCATTCTTTAGAACAAACTCCCGTGCCGCTGCTGCAGTAGAAATCACCACGCAAGGTACGGATCCTGCGCATGAGGAGACAAACATGCACATCGACGTGGTTAGGCTAAAAGATTTCGGTAATTGCGCCGAAAGATCATCAACTGTAGAGTGATCGTGATGCTTTTGTCACCGTCTCATATGAAAATTCTCAGCTCAAATAAATTGCTTGCAAATACTGTGAAATTTCAACTCGAGGCAGCTGAAAAGAGAGTTCATAGACTAAAAATCTAGCATACCTAAACGCAGATACATAAAACCCCCGTATTTGGTTGCGAGATCGCGAAGGGACCTGTGCGGCAGCGAAGACAAGTTCAGAAGGTTTCCGACTACGGGCCATGGCCGAGGGCCGGGTGGTTTCTTCGTCTCACGCTTTCCAGCATTCGAGTAGAATATCCATGTGAGTGCTGCAACCAACAACCCTGCAGCAAGCATGCCAATGTGATGAGATTTGTAGGAATGGCTCTCCTCTAGATCCATCTTCTTCCACTAGATAAATTATACACTCTCAACTTCAAAAGCCGTCTCTGTAAGCTGACCTTTATATATCTCACACAGACGGAGGGAGGAAGGACTGATTTGAGGGCAACATACGGTAAAATAGGCGGTATTCCAATCTCTTCGGAGGGATTCACTGCATTGAAACTGTTGCCCATATTTGCTTGCTCTCCGAGATACTATGCAAAAATTGAGCGATCACGATGGCTTCTGATTTGGAGTACCGAGCATCGGCTGATGAAAAACAGCACTCCACTTATATGCGGCGCAAGCTGCCTTGTCGCATAATCTAAATTTAACGTTGTCTTCTGTCAATCTAAATTTAACGTCTTCACACATCCCGAGATTCGGAAAGAGTCCAGAAATAATGCAAAAAAAAAAAAACAATTCCTCTGAGAATTCAGGGATTTCTACTCAACTTTTCCAAGAGCATACGTACTGAAATGGAATTACTATTAAACGATGCTCGGAAAAGCAAAAAACACATCCACGACTCCAGAATTAACAGGGAATTCTTACAAGAAAAGATCTCAACGAGTTCCTTCCATCGCTGCATCTGTTGCTGCTAACGACTGCGATCACACGATTAACAGGACCTTGTGACACATATGCGTTGAGGCAACCATGCCGGAATTTTTTTAGTTATTGAAACAACATGAATCGATAAAAGTTAACTATCGATGAAAGATAAGAGAGAACATAAAACTAGCTAGACTCTAAAAACCTCGACGACTATTCCAGCAATTTCACGAACTTCTAAACTCACGAACTAGCTAAACTCTAAAAACTAACTTAAGACAGTGATAATAGCAATAATATTAAATTACTTTGGTATGATGTTTTTCTATTATTTGTAAGTAATAATATTTGATATTATATTTTTAAATATGAATATTATAGATTAAAATTTTTTAGCTTGTCTTTAATTCTAAAATTTATAAAAATTCGATTTTATTATGTAAAAGTAACTTGCATTGAAACAAATTAAAATTTTATATTAATCTTAAGACCCTATGCATTACTAGTCATATCTCTATGACAAACCTCTAAACAAGTAAAAATAAAAATAAAAAAAAACAATGATCTTTAATTAGCTATTGAATGAACAAATTTATAGATTAAAATGGTTTGATATTTCATATTTTATAAATCTCAAAAAACTCATTTTAAATTGATAGCTTTTTTTGTTGGAAGACATTATTTTTCTTATTTTTATAAGACATTACTAATTTTAATAGAACCTCAATATATCTTAATATTTTTTTTTATTTTTTATTTTATTCTTCTTACTTTTTCACTTTTTAAAAGTATTTGCATCCTGATGTGATATGTAATATTGATTATTTACTTGATATTGTTTCATATTTATTGGTTGCATTAAAATAATATTTTAGCAAATATTTTCGACCATAAGATATTCTTAGTATTAAATCATGACAATTATAAATGCATCTGTTGTAGATATTAAAAAATGTATCTGGTTTTTAGAATTTAGAACTTAAAGACTTACTTCAAGGATGTCATTCCAATTTTATTGAATGAATATTTAAGTTTAGTATCTAAAATTATCACTTATAATTTAGAATCTAAAATTTTAGATACTAAACTTATAATTTTAGTATCTAAAATTATCACTTGTAAGTAAAATTTCAACACAATATAATTAAGTTAAATTAAAATATTATTATTATTTTTTTAATCTCTTAGATCAAATGTGAGGGTCAATTCCACCTTTAATCTAAATTATAAGGCGGTTTCAATTTTTTTATAATAAGTGATAAAAAACTCTTAAAAAATAAATCATATAGAAAACTTAATACCTTATTGTAAAAAAATCTTACTATATTTTGATTTGAATATTCTAACTATTGATTGCATTATAAGTGCTTTATAAACTTATTTAATTAAAAAATGTTTTTTTAAATTAAAAAAAAAAAGAAGACTGTTTGATGTGTTTTAAAGTCAATTGAAGTAAGTTAGACTGTTTGTAGCAAAATAAGTAGATTCAAATTTAAAATATCATTATAAATTTGAAACAATTTTTTAGAACTTTATTTTAGTGTTATAGAAGAAAACATATTATTATTTATATTGAAATGTGGAAATTTAATTTTGTCAAATATTTTTTATGATGTATGGTATCATTTTAATTTTAAATTAACTTTCTAAGTTCTATTGATATAATTAAATTTAAATTTAATTAAAAATAACTTAATAAAGGGTTTTAATTGATATAAAGTAATCTTTTGTATTCAAGTTTTTATCAAGTATAGGCGAGGTTTTGAAGGTTACTAATAAAACATTTACTGACACAATTTGTGCCATTACAAGGTAAAAATACAATTATATTTGAAAATGTAGGATTTTAAAATGAATTTTAATAATCTTAAAGATCTTCTACTAAAACATGCAGATGCTAAAGTGAAGAAAGAGAAAAATTGGCATGTAAAAAAACCTTTGACAGAATTACTTCCAATTTTAATTATATAATTTTTTTATATATTAAAATTTGCAGAATATCTTTAAAAAAACAAAAATTAATATACAAAATTCTACTGCATTATTGTTATGAAATTTGAGTTTTTTTTATGTAAAATATCAAAGAAGATGAATATTTTATTATATTAATTTAGGAATTGAAATTTTTTACAAACCAACTTATTATTGTAAATAAATCATACGAAGACTCAAATATAATGATCACTTTGTGGATAAATTTAAAAGAATTCTAAAATGGTTTTATCATATAATTTTAATCTATTTAGGTTAAAGAACATATATCCAACTATATAATAACAAGATTGAGCCATATATTCACCAAGTGCAAATAGAAAGAAACTCCAATTAGAGATTTGGATCTTTTTCCATATTAAAATAAAGAATATATATATATATATATATATATATATGTGTGTGTGTGTGTGTGTGTGTGTTTTTCTTTATCGACATTATTTTATTTTATTTTTACAAAATAAAATATTAAATTAATCCATGTATTTGAAAACCATTTTTAGAAAAGTAATGTAAGATTAAAAATTAAAATCAAATTAAAATTTAAAAAACCTTATAATATAAGAGATATTTTTTAAAAAAATTAAGTATATGTATTTAGAAAGTAAAGGAAACTTCATAGCTTCTATGTCTAATTGGATTGTGGATTTAAGTACTACCAAATATATGATAATATATCATAATTTTTATGATATTGATTAATGCATTATATCAAGGAAGGTATTTATAAAAATGAATTACCATGGCTAATCGATTAAAACAGAATCTATTGTTGAGATTTTTTTGAACATTTAATAGAATAAGATTAACTGCAAAGAAGTTTCCTACGTTTACAAAAAAAAAAAAAAAAAAAAAAAAAAGGTTAAATTTTCATAAAAAAATATATCGATAGTTCTTTGGTTTTATTTAAACTAAATGGAAGATTTATATATATATATATATATATATATAAAAAAAAAACTATAATAATTCTTAGCCATAGATGTAAAACATAACAATTTACATGTTATTATATGTAAAAAAGTGAATAGAGTTGAAGTAGTTGCATTTGCTACTTTTGATGTCTAAGTAATTTGCATGCTAATTGTCCTGTTTTAAAGAAATAAAGAAGAATATTATATGTCTAATAATTAAACCACATGTTTTATATTGAATAAGAAATAAACAAGATATGTACTTAAAATTGGTGTGTTCTATAAGCTATCTTGCATCAATGACATCTAAATAAACATGGAATTGAAGAAAAATGTCTTTTACACAAAGAATGTTTGACACATTGTATATGTAAAAGTCCTATATTAAATAGAAACCAATATTTTTGTAAAAGGCACCAAGTAAATATTCTTCGGATATTATAAAAAACCAAGGAGTATAGATTAGTTTATTTAGAAATCTATAATATTATCAAAAATATAAATATTAAGAATTTAGAATATAAAAGTATTTATAATCACTTAGAGATTCATCCAAGTAGGAAAAATGGTGCATTTCTAAATACATCTAATAGTTTACTACAAAATTTTAAAAAAAACATAAAAAGTATTGATCCAATGGATTTTTATAAAAATACTGTATGCAAGTTTAAAAAATTAATAATATGGCGTGAATTCCATCAATGCACCTTAATTTGCACATTTGATGGTAGCTACCTTGTAAAATAATATTGCATCCAATTATGTATTGGTATACACCATTGTGGCTTTATATAAATATTATTAAAAACTTCTCATATCAACTCCCATTTGTTTGAAGAATAAATATGATAAGTGTAAGAATATTGTAATAGACATATAATAACAAACATCTTGAAAGTTTTATTTGTGACCTATTAACTTCGCCTGATTTTTTGGTATGTTTTTTTAATAATTTTTTTGTAATATTTTTTAAAAAATAAATAAGAGTAAAAATATCGTTTTCTATCTTTTTTCTAAATAATTTGCAAATAAAACCCAAAAATTTACCAGATAGAATCTCTTCTTCTAGATTCAATATTTTTTGGAAGTTGAAATAATTGGATCCATATTAGTACTATAAAAAAGTCAAATAAAACATAAACTTGATGGATTTTTTATACTGAAATCTATTTAAATGGGAATATAAATAGAACTTAACACAGAGACCATAGAAATACACAAAATTATTTTCTATTATTTTTTCCAATGTAATATATAGAATTTTTTTGTTTGATAACATAAGTTTACATATTCATATTGATATTTTATCAAATTCTCAGCAAAACAAGTTGTAAAAATTTATTCATCTCTAATACTGTTATCTTCTAGATTCATAACAGTATGTGATTTAATCTCCGAATTAAAAAATTATATACATAATTATAATATATAACCTAGTTTTTATAACATATTTTTGTATAATTCATATTTTTTAAAAAATTATGATTTGTTTTTAGACTAAAATTATCACTTTATTTAAGTAAATTTTGATTTAATTATATACAAAAATTTGATTATATGCAAATTTACTTAATATTTCTATCTTCCAATATTTTTTTTATTTTTAAGAACATATTAATCATATTATAAGTCTTGGTGACTAAATCCATAATATTTTAAATTCTTGGAAATTATAATAATCATATTGTATATAATTTTTTACTAAAAAATTTGATAAGATATTATTTTTTAAAATTAATAAAATAATAAGGATGAATTGAAATTAATATACTATTTTAATCAAATTAATAATATCTCTTACTTAT